AGAAATATGGATGCAAGATGCGAATACACTACTTCAATTTAGTTTTATGTGTACCGTAGCATGTTCTTAGCAATTTCAGTTCAATTACCAAATCAATTAGAAATTTTAAGTTCGTCTTATTTGTTTTTGTGTGTGATTTTTATTTTCAGGCGTTGGAAACAGTATGTCACATCAGGGTAGTAGTTGGATGCGGTTAGATAAGGCAACTACGGGGTGGCAACAAAGATTAACTGATTATCTTGATAGCACCTTTGGAGGCAGCCGTAAAGGAGGAACGACACTATGTCCATGTTCAGCATGTCGTGCCGTGTCATATAGAAAATGGTCGGAGGTTCTGAAGCATTTGCTTCGGAAAGGTTTTGATGAAAGCTTCATCCGAGAGCAAGAAAGTATATGTGAAGGTTCAGCTACTGATGTCGATGATGATGGTGATACAAGTGACAGGGCTGGTTCTGAACACTTGATAAAATCATTGATCAGAGGTGCTATACATGGAGAAATCAATGAGGAACAGCCAAATGAGAAGGCAAAGAATTTCTTTCAATTGTTACAAGAGGCCAAGAAGGAGTTGTTTTCAGGCTGCACGGAAGCTACCAAGGTGTCTTTCATTGTCAAAATGTTTCAACTTAAGTGCATGTTTGGTTGTAGTAATGCTTGCTTGGAGTTTGTACTTCATCTGTTCTTGCTTATTCTTCCTGATGGGCACTGTCTCCTAGACAGTTTGGAGAAAATACGCAAGGTTGTTAGAGATCTTGGTCTAAATTATGAAAAGATAGACGCATGTTATAATGATTGTATGTTATTTAGATAGGCTTATGCGGACCTGGATAATTGCCCAAAATGTGGTGAGTCAAGGTGGAAGGAGTCTGAAAATGCAGAGGCTAGTGGCAGTAGTTCTGGATCAAAGAAGCGTGCTCCATGTAAAATTCTACGGTACTTCCCACTAACTCCACGGCTTCAAAGATTATATATGTCAGAGACGAGAGCATCATATATGCGTTGGCATAAGGAAGAATTGGTGGATGATGGGAAAATGTGACATCCGGCGAACTCCTTGGCATGGAAGCATGTGGATAAAACATATGAATGGTTTGTACTAGATCCTCGTAATGTCAGGCTTGGTCTAGCATCTGATGGATTCAATCTGTTTGGCATGTTGAACGTTTCATACAGTTGTTGGCCTGTGATCTAAATTCCTTACAACCTTCAGGCATGGCTGTGTTTGAAACAACAATATTGGATGATGTCGATGCTGATACCTGGAGCGAGATCTCCTGGCGTTAGCATTGATGTATATTTGCAGCCCCTAATTGATGAGCTCAAAGTTCTCTGGGAAGAGGGTGTCCAAACCTAGGATGCAAAGGTGGAGAAGAATTTTGATTTGCATGCACTTCTACTGTGGACAATTAATGACTTTCTTGCGTATGTGATGCTTTCTGGATGGAGTACGAAAGGCAAGTTTGCATGTCTGTATTGCCATAAGGATACCGACTACTTATGGTTGAAGTATGGGAACAAGCATTGCTACATGGGGCATCGCCGCTTTTTGCCTTCAGACCACAAGTGGCGCAGAAACAAAGTCAGCTTCAATAACAAGACGGAAAACAGGGAGTCTCCGGAACCACTGACTGGAAAACAAGTGTTGCAACACTATGAAAGTTTTGAGCAAGTCAACTTTGGTCCTAAGTCAAGAAAAAGGAAGCGGCGTGACGAAGAAAAAAGATGGCACAACTGGAGGAAGAAGAATATTTTTTTCCAGCTTCCTTACTGGAAAAATTTGCTTATTAGGCACAATTTGGATGTGATGCATATTGAGAAAAATATATGTGAGAGCATATTGGGCACTTTGCTAGACATAGAAGGTAAAGGTAAGGATAATGAGAAAGCTCAGCTTGACATGCAGCATCTCGAGATAAGGAAGGATCAACATCCAGTGCTCGAAAATGGTAAGTACACCTTGCCACCTGCTTTGTACTCTTTAGAGAAAGAGGACAAGAAACTTTTATGCAAATTTCTACATGAAGTTAAGTTGCCTGATGGGTACGCTTCTAATATCAAGAGATGTGTGGATGAAAATCGGTGTCACTTATCTGGACTAAAAACTCATGATTACCATATTATATTCCAGAAACTTTTACCATTAGTAGTACGCAACATTTTGCCTCTAGAAGTTGTTGTCCCATTGATTGACTTGACTAGGTTCTTCAGTTCGCTATGTTCAAAGGAGCTGGACGAAAAGGATATTGCTACCTTGAGTGCTTCAATTAGGGAGACTCTTTGTCGGCTTGAGATGATTTTCCCACCTGCATTTTTTGATATCATGGTACATTTGCCAGTTCATCTAGCTGAAGAGGCTTCACTTGGTGGACCTGTATGCTATAGATGGATGTATTCGGTTGAGAGATATCTGCGTACGCTAATAGGTTATGTGATGAACAAAGCACACCCTGAAGGCTCAATAGCAGAGGGATATATCACCGAAGAGTGCATGACATTTTGTTCTCAGTTGTTCGAAGATGTGCTGACTCGCCCAGAGCGTCATGAAAGCGCCGCAGTGTCTGAACCACCATCTGGTCTAAGCGTTTTTGGTAGCCTTGACTACAGTAGGAAAGGCTTTAGTATGGAGAATTTGAAGGACGCTGAGATGCGGACCATGAGGCACTACATACTGACAAATTGTGATGAGTTTGCTACATTGGCTGAGTGAGTTAAATTTAACATTTCAGCATGCTATTTTTTGTTTACATGATATATATTACTAATTCTTTGCATTTTGTTCTTTCTGCACACTGTAGTGGACGTAAGGATTTACTCAAGAAATATGATCCACATAATATTGAGAGAAGACACAAGGAGCAATTTGTTAGCTGGTTTGAGGACAAAGTGAGTTACCAGAAAAAAAAATTTGTTCATGTTATGATCCAGGTGATGAAAGCAGTTTCAAAAAAATTATTTTTGTCAGCTTATAATATTTTGTTTAATCTAACTGCAGACCAAAAAAGACTATGACCAAGGGAAAGCAAATGAGTTGATGTACGCGCTTTCTGAAGGACCAGATCCTCGTGCTCGTGTATTCAATAGATGTGTCATCAATGGTTTTCTATTTCGGACGGTGGCGGCAGAGAGTAACTTGATCACACAAAACAGTGGTGTCCTTGTCAAGGGCGATGAAAGTACGGGTAATATGGACTGGTGTGGCGTTATTAAGAAAATTATCTCTCTAGAATTCCCTGGTGGAAAGAAAGTGATGATGTTTCAGTGTGATTGGTACGATGTCCCTGCTCCAACAAAGAACAAAAGTAGAGGGTACAAGAAAGATCAATATAGAATTATAGATATTGATACTACCCATTTCAGATATTCAAATGATCCCTATATTCTGGTGACACAATGTCAAAGATGCAAAGAAATCAGATTGGTCTAGTGTTGTTCGAATGAAACCAAGAAACCTTTTCTCCGTGCAGGAATCTCCAAGTGTTGAAGAGGAGGCAGAATTTGATGTTGACTCATTGGTTGTTGGGGTGGAGCACATGACTGTTACACGCGAGCACAGGGAGTTGATGAACTGGCAACGAACAGACATGGAAGGGGTAACAATTGAACCTTCTCTTATTGAAAAAGCAATTGCTGAATCTGTACTAGAACCAAATGATGAAGACTTCAGTGATGAGGATGGAGATGATGGTGACGCATACATTGACGATGGAGTTGTCGCGCCTGCTGTTGCCACAGACAATGTAGATGATGATGGATTTTTTGTTTAAGTCTTCATATTGCACCTTCAAACAAGTTTTCCTATGGTTCACAAACTTCCTTAAATGATGTTTGAATTCATGGCCGTGCTCAGAGTTGCTGTATTGTTTTTACAAGGTACATATTTTTTGTTTCATGCAAAGCGAACTGCTATATAATTTTGTACTTGTGTGTTAAGAATGAATAGACCAGTCCCTGCTGGTCGAGTAGCAAGTGTTTCTAAGAAGCTGCTGCTGCACAGATTTTTTTTTGACGAAAACTGTGGAGCAAAGCTCCCCAGTGAAACTTTATTAAACCAACAAAAGAGTGGGAAACAGGGGACCAGTTAGCTGGAGGCTAACCAGAGCTTACCTAGGTACAAACTAGGGGGGCCTTGGGGCCAAAGAGAAAAATAAGCAAAATTACAAAGATGCAGTCCAATTCATGATTACAGGGTACCTTCAATGGAGGCACGCAGCCAAGCTATAGTCCTGTGCAGTAATGTCAGAGCCTCTCCGTATGCAATTTTTTCTAAACTTATCAATGGAGGCAATAACTGTTTTTGGTAGCTTCAGACTACACATGAAGTAAGTAGGCAAACTGGAGATCGCTGAATTCATAAGTTGCAGCCGAGCAGAGTAGGACAATAAAACTGAACTAGCAGATAACTGCCTGCTGCTGCACAGAATTGCAAAGAGCACAGCCGAGCAGGCTTTTATGTATACCTGTTCGGCTGCAGTTGATGTATACCTGTTCGGCTGCCATTTTCAGCGGCTGCAGCTGGCTGCACCTAGTAGTATTATACAGTAACATGTGGGGGAGTAACAGCCAGCACAACCACAGCAGCTAAGGCACTATGGCAGCAGCCTGCCGAACAGAGTGCACTCCCTGATCAAAGAAGAGCTTCTAGACAATAACTCACAGTAACTCGAAATTGACATTAATTCATAGTAACTAGCAGGCAATACCATATATACATAGTGCTTTCATTAGTTCTTACAAACCACCAGCACATAGAGTGCATCCATTAGTTTATACAACTAGCAGGTCTTACAAACTACCAAACACTAGCACATAGAGTGCATCCATTAGTTCATACAACCACATCACATACATATATACATAGTGGTTTGTTCAAGTGACAATCAGACACAACAAAAGATGACCACCAGGTCAGACTTGCATTTCAGACTTGCAATTCACTCGATGTGAGCAGCCCCCTTCTTGTTCTAACACTTCAGCAAAAGGTAGACTCAAAGAGCAGCTCACTAACACCCAGGTCTCCCATGATTTTGTTGTACGTCTGGTTGAACCTCTTGTGAACATATTTCTCGATCTTCTTCATAGTCATTGACGAAATCAAGCACATCATTTTTTGCAATGTCCAGGCTAAAGTGCACATTGTCCTCTTCATCAGAAAATGAGAAGTAACCATCAGAGGATGTGTCGTCTTCATCAGAGGATGTGTCATCTTCATCAGTGTACTCCTGAAAATTTATGTACCCAAAAAGTGCAATCATTCATCAAGTTATAATGTAAGCTAGTAGGGCACATGGATACACTAAAGACTAGTTACAATGGTCTAAATGTTTGCTTGTATACACAGAAATACACTGAATTGTACAGTCTCAGAAAAACATGCTAATTCAATCTATCATGCTATTCAGATCATTCAACAGTCTCAGAACAACACATTTATTTATTAGCCTGATCTTAAATCGCTACACCTTAGTTACTACCCAGATTTAAATCCAAAATCCCAAAAATGAAACTCTACATCACGAAATCTTACCATCTTCTTCGAGGTCGATCCCAGCCCTTTGGCACGCTTGACGTTGGTCACTGGGGCCTTCTTGTTGGCGGTGGAGGCTGCCCTTTTATCCCGCTTGGCCCTGGGCACCGGGACCTTCTTCTTGGCTGCCGCAGGCGCTGCTCCTGTGGCCACCTTCCCGCTGGTCTGGTCACCAGAATCAGTGTAGAAACAATAAAACAGAGCAGTGAAGTGACAGTTTAGAATTGTGTTGAAACCAGACAGTACTCCCTTTATTTTTTATGAGCAGAAACAGGCACTAATACATCAAGCACAGTAATTGCTTAAAAAGGCTCAGATCGAATTATAACCCGGCCCTTAAGAAGGCTCACCTTAATTACTACCCAGCCCTTAAGAAGGTTCTAACATTTGATCTTCATCTTTTTCGAATTATAGTGCCCTTTTGTCAAATCTGTGCTATAATATCTTGACACCACATTTTTAATTTGAACAATGACAACTCATCCTTTATCATTTTTAATCATTTGCCTAAGTTACAAAAAATGTGTGCTAATATATGCACCATGAAAATTGTCCAGTCATATATGTGCCATAAATACTGTGCAGTCATATATCTACAGCACAATAATCCAAAATATAGTCTGCTTTCCTGGAAAGTGAGCACTTCAAAAACCATGTTCTGAAAACTTTCTTGTAATAAGATAATAAAGTTGGTACCATAAACAGAGGCTATTACGCTTGTATAGCTGAGAAGCATTAAATCTAGTTTCCTGGAAATGTAATGCTCAGATCGTGATACTAATCCTACATCTTTCCAAATTGTTCCAGGAAGTGCTTGGCTTAAAGCATATGAAGCCATAAACAGAGGCCATTCGACCAAGCTGGTGCCTAAGATTAAAGACCGAACCTCCAATTCCATCCGCATTGCGGCCGGGTTGACGTCGTCGTCGGAGTCGGAGTCGACGAGGACCACCTCGCGCACGGGGCCAACTGGCCGCGCGAGTTGCGCCCTTGGGTCCGGGCGTTGTGGCCGTGCTTACCGCTTCACAGGGTTGACGACTCAGCTGGCGCCTCCGTCGCCGCCGTGAAGATTCAGTCCGCCCTCGCTGCCGTCGCTGTGGGAGTGAATGTGGGGAGAGTCGCACGGGTGGGAAATGGGAACGGTACGGCAGAAGGAAGCGGCCGGTGCGGGCTTGTAGGGTTTTGAGAAAACGAAGTGGGTCGGCCCATTAACGGGTTTGTGTTGGCTGTTGCCCAACGCTTACACATAGTACCACCTTGCTAATTCATTGAAACAAAAGCACATTTTAAAAGCTCAAGAGGGTGCACCTTGTCGAGCTCTTTGTTACGTATACATACTGTAGTTTCGTTGGTCTACATGCGACATGGGCTTTGTTAGGCTCCTGTATGCGATTGAGCTTGGCTCTAGACCATTGCCAACATTTATGGTTCTATTATTTTGGGAAATTATTTGTTTAACATTTTAGATTGAACATTCCAACTGCATTTTTTTTAAACCCATTTGTATCATGGTCATATGGATGAGGAATGATTGCCAACATTTTTAGTTCTATTTTTTTGAATTTTTTTTGTTTAACTTTTAGATATGTAGCTAATCTGGTGCTATCGAGTGTCATGTCATATGCCACTATGTGCCTCATCATGTCCTAGAAGTACGAATTTGTTATATTTCATTGAGTGGCACGTCATTGCCTATGTTTGACTAGCTAATAGGTACATGTGGTTTGACTAGCTAATAGGTACATGTGGTGTTGTGCAGAGCGTGCCACATCTTGTCCAACAACTTGATATGTAGTCTCGTCCTATCGGGTGCCATGTCATATGCCACCAAGTGTCATGTCATATGCCACCGAGTGCCTCGTGTCCAACTAGTAACTATTTGTCATATTCTATTGAGTGGCACGTCATTACATATGTCTGACTAGCTAGTAGGTACATGTCGTGGCCTAGTGTCGTACTGAGCATGTCATGTCATGACCAACAACTTGATATGTAGTCTCACCCTATCAAGTGCCATGTCATGTGCCACCGAGTGCCTCATTATGTCCAACTAGTAACTATTTGTCATATTCAAGTTGCTGGCGCCGATTGGAAGGCGGCATGCGATGCAGAGAGCTGTGGCCATTGAGGAGCACGACGATCTGCCCCATAGACGGGTTGCAAAGGTAGTACATCCTCACGGCCGTCGCCTGCAGGAGGAGGAGGACGCGACACATGTGGGTGACATCGTGTAGTTTGCCGTTGCGATTGTTGTGCAGAGCCTAAGAACTTCGCGGTGGCGATTATGGCAAGGTTGAAGTGTCTGTGAACGAAGGCGTCTGAAGACAGAGTGGTGGCCCAGGCACGGTAAAGTCAGCGGCACTAGAGCACCGACTTGGCTGGCATGCACGCGAAGATGCCCTCAATGATCTCTTGGAGATGTTGGCGCGGCGGCGCCACCTCCATCTCCTCGATTGCTTCTAGTGTGCTGGCCATGTAAAGGTTGATGCGGGAAAAAATATTGATCGGTTACAATTGACACGTTAATGGTAATAATGAATAATCAACCAGATCCTGCCAATCTATGGAAGAAGACATAATAAATAAAATAAAAGACAAAAAAGTCATGAAACTGAACGAGCGGAAAAGGCAAGCGCTAAAAAACAAAAAAAAACCTGCAAAGGACATGGACGAAAAAGTTTTGCACAGAAAAATCAGGCATTTCCAAACGGAAGAAAAACAACATGAGGGGAGAAAAACAACACGAGGGACTTTCCAAGCCGGTCGGTGTTTGGGCTAGCTGGGTATACATATAGATACATAGTATTTTCTTAATTTCTACTCGTACTCGGATTAAGATAAGTTGGACGAAAAATCTAAAGTGGCCAGAAATTTTTCCTCTTTTGTATTAGGTTTATTTATTTAGGTATAGATGCGATTTATTATTATTTATTTTACAAGGTGAAGTTGTTTGATTATTTTAGAAATTATAATCCCGAGCTTCTGTTTTTCAATTTGTGACCCAGCCCGGACCAGGGACACCACTACGGTGCTCAAAATTTATTCCCCGCCCCAGCGCTCCCGCGCCCTCCCCCACCAAAACCCTCCACGTTAAGTCAAAACGGGCCGACGCGCTAATTCCCTCCCTAAAACACGGTTTATAGATTCTACTACAACTAAAAGAAACAAAGTGTGGACATTTTTTGGTGTGACATTTGTTTTGGTTCGTCCGTCTGCCCACGCCTGCGATCCCACGACATCTCCTGCATGTTACAGGTTAATCTTACTTACTGATTGATCGTGCCATTCTACTTGATTGAATATTGCCTGTTATGTGATAGAGGAATCACGGTAAAATAGGAAGTAGAAAATTATTGTGCTATCCATATACATATTGCATGTTTGCATGCACCAGCATACATGGCAACGAGCAAAAGGAAAGAGAATTAACACAGAAGGAAAGAGAATTAAGACAAAAGGAACATCTTTACACATCTTGACTATCTGAGTAAGGACAAGTTAGCATTGCAAAGGCTCAGAAAAGCTGCTGAGAAGGCCAACGTTGAGTTTTCCTCTACTATGCATACTAAAACATATGTCCCCGTTTATCATTGCTGATGCTTTTGATGCAAAACAATTCAATATTTCCATGATCAGATATAAGTTTGAGTCTCTTGTGAGTAATTTCATAGAGGGACTCTCATCCTTTATGTGATTTGCTTCAAGGATATTGGTAGGACGATGGACTCATGTTGGAATGTCGTACCAAAAAGTATCCACGTTTTGTCCACGATTTATTTCCCATGAATACATTCGGGTACTATGATAACACTAACTACACCAAATGAAAGATTAGAGAGAATTTGCATTGCCTCCAGAAGAATTTATTTATTAAGTTCTTTGGATTCTACAGGTAGTTTTGAAATATCTGTTTGCATGTCTTACCTCGTATCCTAATTTAAAATTTTGTAGTTTAATTAGAATATTGAGGTGATTGTATATATATAATATTCAATACAAGAATAATCCATGCATGATCTTCTTGAAAGATTTCTGCAGTATAAAGATATCTTGGTTTTTCATGCATGCCCGTGCTAACGCTACGGTAAAAACTAAAACTCATGCTCAAAGTCAAAAAGATAAATTATGAATGCTTGAATTTTGTCATCCATTATCTACCGGCGTGTCTATAAAATAGACTAAATAAACAATTAAACATAGATAAAAAACTAAATTAATGAAAGGATCATTGTAAGACATCAATCATCTCATAGCTTCGGACAATATTGCAAAGCTACTAAAAACTGTAACCGTGCCCTCACCTCAAACATTGTCCAGATAAATGAATTACAATGAAAGAAATGGATATCGGAGATTTCTTCCTGCCAATATAAAACATTATTTTAGCCGTATCATGGAAAGGTCTATAAAGTAGAGTTTGTGAGCCTGTGACTACGCGCACTCCATGGCCGTGTTAAATTCATAAACTTTATTTTTTTAATTAAATATCATTTTAACGTTGGTATTTAATTTTTACAGTATTATTATTTTATCATATGATCTATATATTTTTAGTATAAATTATTAGTTATTCCGTAGCGACGTACAGGCACGCTGGTCTAAAATCACGGGCCTCTGGGAGAGACGAGCCGTCGCCCACGTTGTGGTTCGTCTCCTTCGGATCTACTCCACTCCAAGGCAATGAAGAAAACCGCACCACCGGAGTCCGTGTCGGCGTCGCCGTCTCCTACCTCCAGTAGGTCGCCGTCTCCTCCGCTAATTATAAGGAGGTCGTCTACTAGGAGACTGGCGTCTCCTCCGTCCAGGAGGTCGCCCCATCCTCCGTCGTCCAGGAGGAGACTGTCCAGGCGGTCCCGTGCAGCCGACGTAGAGGACGACCTAGTGAAGGACACAGCTCCTCGTGGGCAAGATGAAAGCAAGAATGAAGACGACGATGACCAACCCAGGTACGCAGTCTATGGGCCTAGTTAATTGCTAACCCTGCCGAGTTTGCTAATAACCCTGCCAAGTTAGTGCATGCAGACGATGACCTACCATGCAGAGTTTGCTAGGTTTAGTAGTGCACTCTTCCAGCGCTAGGATTTAACTATACAAAAAATATGTATGTGTGTCCTGTGTTTTGTGATTTGTTCTTTTAATTGTCACTTCTCATAACCTGATTGTTTTGTGTTTTTCTTCCTGTCATTGCTCATACCTTTCCTGTTTATGTGAGACACCGACTGTGCTGTATATACTTATACTCGTTGTGTACATGTGTTCATTTTCTTATTTACTTCACAATTTTTTTCTAGTGATCCATATGTTAGCTAAAAAATATACATAAATTACACAAAATACTATGTATCGTTACGAATATGTGATTGATCTTTTTGGTGGTGCTGCTGCTGCGGCGGCGGCGGTTGGTGGACCTCTAGGTGATGGACGAACTGCTGCTGTTGTTAAAGCCGCATCGTCGCCACCTCCATGGCGACCAGCAAGCGATACGTCTGGACCAGCTTATCCCCATCCGGTGATGCTGTCATGGCCAGCGATGGGGTGGTCATTGGATTTGGGCTGTAGGAGGCCGCTCATGACGATGGCCACGGCGGGGGATGAGCTGCCCGTGGAAGTTGTGGCGGCAGTGGCGGAGCCCAGCGATGGCCGTGGCAGGGGACGAGCTGCCCGTGGAGGTTGCTACGGCGGCGGCGACGGCGGCGCGGCGCCCTTTGCTGCATTGCCCTTGACGGAGCGGCACCGTTGGGCTTTGTGTGTCCGCCGTGTATACCCGCTTCGGATAGGTGTGCTCTCATGCGGGTTAGTGCGGGCTCACGGAGCGGTCTAGCCCAGTGGGCTAACAGCGTGACCCGCGCCGTTTGCAACTCTATATATACTTATTAATTTTAATTGAGCCTGAGATTTTTTCCC